TTTTTCTTAGAAAAAATTTTTACCTTACAAAACCAATTAATTGTTGACGGTTGTATAGCCTTTTATATATAGGATTGTTTACAAATGTTAACAATCCTATATATGAAAGGCCATACAACCATACAAATGTTTTAGGATTAATTAAATTACAATATTTTTGACGTTCATCTCGAGTTATTGCAACATGCTAATAAAAAATCTAATTATCAATTTTACTCTGCGATATTATTTTGAAAGTTTATCAAAATATTATATAAACAGCTAATAATTTGCATAAAATATTACATTATCTCAGTAAATTTGTTTTTTTATCATAGATATCCACAACCGTGTATGGAAACTCTTCAAGAAACACTTTTCCAATTTTAATAAAAATTGGAAAATTCTCAAATATATTATATGTAAACATATATCAATTTATATATTTATAATGAGCTTAGAAGTATCTGTTTTTGAGTTATTTAATCAAAACTCCTACAATTCAAAAAACATTGGAAAATTGACTTGTTTTATACTTTATACTATCTTTTATTTATATATCCTATTATATCCAATTTTATTTTTTTGCTCTTAACAACTGAATTTTTTATTCGTCTCTTTTTCTAAATCTGCTCATCTTAAATTCCAATCTTGCTTTTCTTCTTACTTCTAATTTTATTCAACAATTTAAATTCTATTTAATTTAGAATTTCATGTTTTATGCAATTTTAAATCAAAATTAAAGTTTTATTTTTGATTGCGTGTATGAGCTTAATTGGTTTTAATTAATTTTTGCTATTTTGATTAATGATGGTATGAGTTTAATTGGCTTTAATTAGTTTTTGCTCAAAATAATTTTGTTAACATGTCCCTTTAGTCTTTAAACGTATATACATTCAAAATTTTCCCATAGTTCTAACTTTTTAATAGTATATATTATATTTTTAATAGATTTTATATAGATTTAATAGTATACATCTATTTTTAATAGATGAGCATCCGATTTGAATGATCTTAAAAACATTCAATTAATAATGATTGGGAAAAGTGTATAAACAGAACTGATAACAGTTTTTAGCAAAGGCAGACTCAGCCATTTCGAACTACTTTGGAATTCACTGATTAGTACTTTAAATGAAGAGAACTTTGTACAAGATTTCTATCAATATTATTATTACATTCAATGCGGACAAAAGCAATGTAAATTGCTGCCATTAATGAGAGATTAGTATGTTTGCTATTAATTTTCTAATTCCACCTTTGTCCCGGGCAAAACGTTCACAAAGCAATTCGTTGTTGTTCAGACCGTCTGATATGATTCCTCCTTAAGACATCAGTAGAAAATCAATTTGATATTTCCGTTTGATAAGCAGTCACGTGCAATCGGTTGTTTGCCTAAAGTTAATTAAACATTCGGTATTAAAGCAAACAATAATATTGATTTGTATTACACTAGATTTGTTCATGATTACAGCATGAATTCTGCACAAACTGGGCTTTGAATTCTATTTATCTACAGTTTTACAAAGATTTTGCTTTATATTCTCTATTTTTAATCGGTTGTTTGCATGAAGTTAATTCTACTTATTGTCATTTATTTATTCTATTTTTTCTACATATTTGCTAGAAGTCCACTAAGGACACTTGGTGAAATAAAATTTGTTCATGGAGATATTGATATCATTGTATGTGATATAAAATGTCTGCATACTTGTGCAAACAATTCCTTGAATTCTATTCGTTTGTTTTGCAAAGATTTTGCTACATATTTTCTATTTTCTCAAGTAACTACTCTCACGTTTTCATAGAATTCTATATCCTGATACAACATTGTTATTTCAAATATAAATATATTTTTCTTGATAATACAAAATAATTTTTGTGGTAACGCAAAATATCAATACACATAAAACACTAAAATTATTAAAGGATGAGTTTTGAAAATTGAGATGAAATATATTACTAAATTGTAATCTATAATATGAAAATGAATCGCAAAATGTGTTGGTAAGTGCATAGCTCAACAAGGCCGGAATCAATTTGGCCAATTCTTTATTTAAAATGTTCGTTGAAGTCCAAGAATGGTTCTTACGGCGAGAAAAAATCGAATAATTGCCGGAAAAACCCTAAAACAGCCTTTTTTCATTTCACAAACGTTAGTATTTTCATATTTTTGCTATCGGATAAGAATATTTTCTCAAGTCTATGGAGCGTTTTGGATCTGAATTTTTTTACTGTGCTCCAATTCGTATGAAATTTTGAAATTAGGTTTATCTTACTTTCAAGTCCAAAAGTGAAAATAATTTAGACGGAATGACATCTCTCTCAGTGGTGTAATTTCATTTTTATTTCAAAATAACGTCGGATATCGATAAAAAAACTAATTATAAGAAAAAAATGTTTTATAAGGTTTTTCAAAAAAGCAAATACTCATCATTATACTTAAAGCAGTTGTACATTTAAGATCCATATGGGTGAATATACATTTCGGTATAGAATGTAGTGTAAAAAAACATAATAATTTTTAACTAATTGGTAAATATCAGTATAAATTATTTTAAAAAATGGAACATTTGAATTGAAAACATAAGTACAGTACAATATTTGTCGAGTCATCTAGTTTATAATAATTCTTTAAGTATAATGAGATTATTTGATCCTCCACAGATATTTCATTAAAAATTTACTGTAAAAAATCATAAAAATAGTTATGTCTCCATCAATTCCGCAGAGTGTTTATGAAAGAAGATGATTAAACCACCTTCTACCTCCTGTTGCCTACATTAAAGTTAATTTGATGTCTGGGCGGTAACCAAAAGCTTTGAGTACTCAAACAATATCGAAAGTAAATGTGTAAAGTTGAAGCCAGAGAAAGCCTGACAATGAAATCCATTTTTATATCAACGGTTTTTGCCGCTTTTCATGTGGTTTTGTAAGTTTTGGAATATTGACTCAGTACATGGAATTTGAATTTGGGAAATATCGATAATGAGTGGAAATGTTGGCGGAGATGTAAAAAATTCAGCAAGGTTAGGATCGTACATATTTGGTCAAGGTTGTAGGTAGTCGTTGTTCATTAAAATAAAAGCTTGTTGATATATTGTGGCAAATAGGATGCTTTGAGAAATTATTTGAATTGCGTGCTGGTTTTATCTACTGATACGATTTTTTTATATTTCATAACAAATAGAAAAGTTAAGTATTTTGTATGATCCTGAACGATAATAAAACATTTTTTGTCTTGGTTGGATATGTTACATAAAATTGTCATAGCTACTTTCAGCAAACAGATTTAATTTTGATAATGTGTAACAATTTTTGTCATTGCTAAGTTGTTTAAATGGTTATATTGATAGACTTAATAAAATCACCTTAATCACCCTTTAATTATTCATCCTTAGTTAAAACAAAATCTTAGGGCCAGTTTATAGAGTTTTACATAATACTTAAATTGGGGTTGTTCGTAGTTCAAGTTGAGTGCCACAATTAAAAAAAATCAAGTTTTTAGAATGTTTATAAGTTTAAAAAACATATATAAATACAAAATGCCTGTAACTCTATGAATATGCTTTACTATATATTTTAACTTCTGTTTCCAACGTATGAAAAATAGTCTTCATTTCAAATATCAATCCTTTTGTCGAAAAACATCAATTCAATTTGCATCATTATCCTTCGTCCTGCAGACTCAGAACAAAATCAGTAATATTATCTTATTGTGAAATAATACGTCTTTGAATATCAAAGTATGATTTCAATTTGTGTTTTATGTTTTATGCCTTTATGAAATCATCTGTAATGACACAAAGCGGGTTTTTAGAGAATATCTCATTATCTTCGCGATTTGAATGTCTATGATCATATTCATATTTTTTATATGTCTGATAATAAGATTTTTAAGAAACCATATCAAAATAGCTAATAAGATACCTATTTTTACTTCAAGACAAAAATTTGTCTTTTATTATAACTCATTTATTTATTGATCACAA